ACACAATGTAAGACATACAGAATGAAAGGTAAAGGCCCCAAGGCAAAAAAAAAAGTAGGTTAAACTAAGTTGTAAGAGCTAGTGGGAAGGCTGGGGAGATGGCCCAGTGGTTAACAACAGTGACTACTCTTCCAGAGGACCCAGGTTCAAGTCCCAGAACCCACATGGCAGCTTACATCTATAACTCCAGTTTCAGGGAATCTAATACCAATGCACTTTTGGGGGGGGCGGGGATCGAGACAGGGTTTCTCTGTGGCTTTGGAGGCTGACCTGGAACTAGCTCTTGTAGACCTGACTGGTCTCGAACTCACAGAGATCCTCCTGCCTCTGCCTCCCAAGTGCTGGGATTAAAGGTGTGTGCTACCAACGACGGCCCCAATGCACATTTTTAAAAAAGAAAAAAAGCCAACAAAATAAAGTTTAAAAAAAGAGCTGGTGGGACAAGCAGAAGATAAAACTGAGCATTCATAACTAATAATAAGTGTCCGTGTCATGATTTGGGAGCTTTGGTGACCCTAAAGAATGCATGCTACAAAATGGCCTTTCATGGGGTTGTCAGTATGTGTGTGTGTGTGTGTGTGTGTGTGTTTCCCCTGAGACAGGGTTTCTCTGTGTAGCTCTGGCTGTGTCCTGGAACTCGATTTGTAGATCAGGCTGGCTTTGAACTCACAGAAATCCACCTGCCTCTGCCTCTGCCTCTGCCTCTGCCTCCAGAGTGCTAGGATTAAAGGCATGTGCCATAAAGGCTTGCACCACCACACCAGGCTAAGTAAATACTTTTCTGTAACATCTGATTGAATAACCCACCTTACTGTTTGGCTCACATCTACTGGACACAATTGTAAGAAACCCAGTTTTCTAATATCTGCTTGTTTGGGATCAGAAATTCACTCTAAAAACTAATTTTAAAGTGCTGTTTGGAATGTGACCAATTTCCTGCATTTTCAATGTTTTTTTCCCTGAACTTTACATTTTAAATAAATTTTAGTGCTAGAAAAAGTGTGGGGCTGAGGAGATGGCTCACTGATTAATAGCACCAGCTCCTCTTTCAGGGGCCCACATAAGTGGCTTACAGCTGCCTGTAATTCCATCTCCAGGAAATCCAAAACCCTCTCCAGGCCTTGGTGGACTACCTGCATGTACGCGCACACATAACAACACATAAACACATACACAGACATACTCTGAAACAAAAGAGTTACATTTTTTAAGCGGGGCAAAGACCTTAATGTAAGACCTAAACTTTGAAACTCTAGAACAGTGATTCTCAAACTTTCTAATGCTGCGACCCTTTAATACAGTTCCTCATGTGGTGACCCCAACCTTAAAATTATTTTTGTTGCTACTTCATAACTGTAATTTTGCTACTGTTATGAATCCTAATGTAAATATCTGATGTGCAGGCTGCCCAACATTCAACCCCAATGGGGTCAGGACCCACAGGTTGAGAGCCAATGCTTTGGAGGAAGATGCTTCAAGATAGGGACACAGGTAGAGATTTTTCTTTTTAATGATTTATTTATTTATTTATTTATTTATTTATTTATTTATTATGTATGCAATGTTCTGCCTGCATGTATCCCTGCACACCAGAAGAGAGTACCAGATATCATTACGGATGGCTGTGAGCCACCATGTGTTTGCTGGGAATTGAATTCAGGACCTCTGGAAGAGCAGCCAGTGCTCTTATCCTCTGAGCCCATAGATGGCAGTAGAGGGCAGAAGATCCGCAGGACTGGAGTTAAGGATGGCTGTCAGCTGCCAAGTGGGTGCTAGAAATAAAAAAACTCCAGGTCTCGGGAAAAGTATCCAGTGTTCTTAACAACTGAGCCATCCTTCAATCTCTGTGTCGGATCTAGTTCATGTCATACAGTGTGTTCAGAGTTCACCCATGTTAATCAGAATTTTATTCTCTCTTAAGACTGAAAACAAATCCCATTATATGCACATTCTTTATTCTGTCCATTAGTATACCTGCGGACAGACCTGTAAATGGTTTTCTCTTTTCAGCTGCTCTGAGTGACCAGTCATTTCCGTTTTCAATCTTTCTGCCACATGTAATGGTGCTCACTTTTATTCCCAGCGCTCGGGAGGCAGAGAAGGGCAGATCTTTGAATTCAAGGTCAACCTGGTCTGCAGAGTGGCTTTGAGGCCAAGGCAACATAATGAGAGCTGTCTCAAAAACAATAAAAAGCTTGGAGGTGGTGACGCATGCCTTTCATCCCAGCACTCGGGAGGCAGAGGCAGGAAGATCTCTGAGGATGAGGCCAGCCTGGTCTACAGAGTGAGTGCCAGGACAGTCAGGGCTACACAGAGAAACCCTGTTGAAAAAGAAAACAACAACACAACAAAATAAATAAATAAATAAATAAACCTTTAAGGAATTAACTAGGAATGGCTGTTGAGATTTGGGAATATATCAAAGTTCCCCCCAAAATGAGAGAAAAGGAATATTGAAATAGAAAACAAATAACCAAAACCCTACAAGTGGATAGGCTGTGTTTTCTGTCTCTGTACAGAGATAGTTCGCCGTGTGCATGTGGGGCTGGTTTTCTGATGGGCTCTGGGTTGACCCTCTATCTACATGATGCCACATAACTCTGTCTTTCCATTTATGGATCCCACTAGACTCACAGGACAGGGACAATGTCCCAATACCCAGTATACCCCCAGGGCCTAGTATATGTCCTGTTCTTCCTAGAATTTGATGACTAGAATAAGAACTCAGGCTCAAGCTCTGGTTCTTTTTCTTAATAACTTTTATTTATTTTATGTGTATTGGTATTTTGCGTGCATAAAAGCCCATGCATCACATTGGTGAGTTACTGACAGTTGTGAGCCACCATGTGGGCACTGAGAATTGAGCCTGAGTTCTCAGGAAGAGCAGTCAGTGTTCTTAACTGCTGAGCCATCTCTCCAGCCCCTTGAGCTCTGATTCTTTTTTGTTTGCTTTTTTTTTGTTTTTTTTTAAAGATTTTACTTATTTATTATGTATACAATTTTGTGCCTGCATGCCAGCAGAGGGCACCAGATCTCATTCAAGGTGGTTGTGAGCCACCATGTGGTTGCCAGGAATTGAACTCCGGACCTCTGGAAGAACAGTCAGTGCTCTTAACTGCTGAGCCATCTCTCCAGCCATGCTTTTTGTTTTTATTTATTTTTCTTTTGAGACATGGTTTCTCTGTGTAACAACCCTGGCAGTCCTGGAACTCGCTCTGTAGACCAGGCTGGCCTCAAACTCACAAAGCTCTGTCTGCCTCTGACTCCCAAATGCTGGGGTTAAAGACATGTGCCACCACTGCCCAGCGAACTCTGATTCTTAAATTGCACCTGGTTCCCAAAATTGCTTCTTTCCTTGGTGCCTAGACAATGTCATGCAGCCCAGAATGAATTATTATTATTTCAGCAATGGGAAGCTGGGGGTGGGGGTGGGGGTGGGGTGGTGAGTATGGATTATCTGCCTAATGGAATATCATGAAACCAACAATAATCATGTTTGAAAATGTCAATGACAAAAGAAGATATGGGCTTTGCTTTTTAAACATTTCCTGTTATCTACTGAATAATTAAATGCTTTTGTAAAACTGAAAATAGTGTTCTTTGCACTCAGGGCTCAGGCTGAATGTCACCTTCTCTGTAGGTGGATTTCTGGGTTCCTCCCACTAGAAGCAACCTTGCCTTGCTTGGGTTTTCACAGCTTGTGGCTTTCTCTGGTCTCTTAAAATTCCTGCCCTTGCTGTGACCACTCCTCAGGCGAGACTGCAGCTTCCCCATGCACCAGCCCCTAAGAGGAGGCTTCAAGATGTTCAGCCGGACTTAACTTCTTTCCCCCGGTTTGAGGGGGATTGGGTGGTGTGGCTTTGGCCAAAATGAGGTAGGGAGAGAGGTGTTTGCTGACCTGTTGCCTGGGCTCGAGGGTAAGTTGCCTGGGTAAGCACAATTGAGACAGGCATTATGATTATTGTTTGTGCATGAGATGTTCAGGCAGGGGACCATGTGACAATTCTCAGTGGCAACAGACAAGCAGTTGCTTTAGAACTATGGAAACTGCAGCCTTCCAAATCATCTTTCTGGGCCTGCAAAACAATCATTCTAAAACTGAGACCACCCTGCCACCCAGTGACCTGTTGAGAGCTTACCAGTAGCCTGGGATTCCAGACCCCATATGATCTGTCTCCACAGATCTCCTGCCATCTCCAGCCACACACCTTGGTACACCTCACAGAGGGAACACCTCAAAAGTCCCAGTCTACCCCTTTGATTCCTATTTCCACATAGTATTCAGAGTGGTCTGACGCACAAATTGAATCACGCCACTTCATTACTTCACTGAAGCTGGGATGAAATTCTAGAGGTTTGTGTGTGTGTGTTGTTTTGTTTTATGTGTATGGGTGTTTTGCCTTCATTTGTCTGTGAAGTGTATGCTGTGCCCTCCGAGGCCAGAGGAGGGTATCAGATCCCCTGGAACTGCAGTTACCTGAGGTGGTTGTGAGCTACTATTTAGCTTCTAAGAATGGAACCAGGTCCTCTGGAAGAGAAGTCAGTGCTCTTAACCACTGAGCTATCTCTCTGGCCCTAAAAACAAATTTTTAAAAGATGTATATTGCTAGCCAGGTGGTATTAGCACACCTTTAATCACAGCACTCTGGAGGCAGAGGCAGGGAGATCTTTGTGAGTCTGAGGCCAGCCTGGTCTACAAAGTGAGTTCCAGGACAGTCAGAGCTACATAGTGAGACCCTGTCTTGGGGAGGGAAAAAAATGCAGACTGCATTTGGGAGGCAGAGGCAGATTAGTTTTAAGTCTATATAAGCAGCCCAAGGACATCCAGGGCGACATAGAGAAACACTGCCTGAAAACAACTTTTTTGAATGTCATCAGAGAAACAGATAGACACTGTGTGCCTGCCTTCATTGCAACACTAAGGAAGAATGGTCAGTTACACATTCTTCTAACCAGGACTGCGTAGCACATACATGAAAACAAAGAAACAGCAGACAGACCCAAAAGGAGAAATTGTCTATTCAAACAAAGAGGAAAGAAAATCTATGCCACATTAAAAGATACAAGCAGGAAACCACAACGTATGCTCCACATCATTCGTAGACTCGATTTTGTCCTAAAGGGAAGAACCTAATAAAGGTGACCAGGGTGACGACCAATGACAAACAAGTAGGGCTTGAGCGACTGCGTCTCATCAGTGCTATGTTCAGTGAACGAGGCATTACTGAAGGAAATAACCACTGTATTTTAAGTGTAAACACACATGGTGTATGCAATTTATCCTCAGAGTTCAGACTACAAGGTGTGAGTGTACATCGCAGGTAGACACCGGGACACACCAAGTGGAACAGAATGGTTACAGCGGGGAGTTTGCGGTCACAGCACGCACATGTATTCTGTACCACTCTTATAACTTTCCTGCAATTTTGAAATTGTTTCCAAACCAAAAGTTAAACACCCAAATGGTCTGCATGGTCTATGACACCATCCCCACCCAGCAGCCAGCAGGCTCAGTCCAGCCACATTGACGGCATTTTCAACACAGTAAGCGTTTTCTCCCCTTTGAGGGTCTATTATTGCCTTTACATAGAATTCTCTTCTCCATACTGAGGGCCCGTATTGTCGTTGTCTTAACACACCCCACACTTATTTACTACTCTCTTTCACAGCACTCTGAACTTTTCTTCTTATTTGTCACGGTTTATAGTGTGCGATTGTTTTTGAGACGGGGTTTTATGTAGCCCAGGTTGGCCTCTAACTTGGTAAGTAACCAAAGGTAACCTGAACCTCCTGCCTCCATTTCCCAAAGGGCTGGCATCATAGGTGTGTGCCACCATGCCAGACGAAGAGTTGGTACTCAGGGAGGACTAGTGTCTAGCCTCTCTGCAGTTGCCCGGAAGCTTCCTGAAGCCAAGGCTGGGGCGGGGTCTGTTCTGTTCACAAATGTATGTCCTGTACCAGCTACTGAATCTGGCACAGCACTGGGCACTGGGTAACCAGCTGGCTGATGAGAAGGTGAGTCCCACTCTCTAAGTTCATCTCCAACCTGTTGGCAGCTCTCAAAAAACATGCCCTGCAGCTGGCCTTCAGCCCCAAGAGTTTAGTCAAGAGGCGCTGACTCTGAGGACCCTGGACTGCCCACTTCCCACATCAGTTTGAAACTGAAGGGCCGTGGTGAGGAATGGAAACCTACAAGAGATTCACTGAAGGATTGCCACTGAGTGAGCTGAGAAGGGTGGTGCTCAGGGAGGCAGTCTGGTTAGAATGAGAGCTGCCTCACCTGGGTTAAAGAAAGTCTAAGGATGGCACCTGGAGTCCCCTGACTTAAGTGGTGAACAAGGAAGCGGAGTCTGGAGGTGGAGGCAGGAGGTCAAGAGCAAGAATTGCTGCTGAGGCCAAGAGGGAGGGCACGTAGGCACATCCTGGTTCAGGACCAGCGATGTGATGCTGGTGGGTGGAGGTGAAAGGCTTGGACCCTGTCCTGATAGAACCTGTGTGTGGGGGGCCACTGGACCTCACGTTCCCAGACACCCATCTCTGCTCTGAGGGTTGAGTTTGTGAGGCTATTACCAGGAGCCTGTGACATCTTTGGAGGGCCCTCTAAACTGCATTTGAAGAATAAAGTGTGTGCTCCTGGGAGGAGGGTGCATGGCTCCCAGCCCATGGAAACATTCCCTAAATTGCACTCGACACCTCTCACCACCTTTTCACAGGTCCTTTCTGAGATTTGAGTCTTATTTAAAAACACAGTGTGAACACATACATCGAACACTATTCTTTATCCCAAACCTTTAACCAAGAAGAGGGTTTTTTCTTTGTTTGTTTCTTCCTGAGGTGCTAGATATGAAATCCGTGGCCCTCGCTCATTCTAGGCAAATGCTCTTCCTCAGCCCCACAACATTATCCTTCTTAAAACGGAGCCTGTTTTCTCCCTGTTCCCAAGGGTCTAAGTCATATGCACTGGATTTCCCCACTTGACTGCAGTAACCTCACCTGAGGTGTGGGGCACCCTGTTCTCCAGCTGCACATAGTGGCACCGCCCCTTCGGCCTGGCGACACAATGGCCAGAAGCATACCAGTCCCTCTCCTTGGCCATTGTATTGATGTCTGACAGTAATTTCCTATATCCCCATCTCCAGAGAAAACACTGTGAGTTAGTATCACCTCACGGCTTAGAAAGCGCCCGCAGTGCTCCTCTCCACCCTTCCTCCTCACAACTGGCCCTGTGAGGTAGACACAGTGGGTAACAACTATACTGGCCCACATGGATCAAGCATGAACAGTGTACCTTGCTCTGAGTTAAACAGCTCAATGTGTAATCTCACTTAAACTTACCACAGCCTTGTGAAATAGATCACGTGTTCCCATTTTACAGAAGAGAAAAATCCAGTGCTTAGAACTTGCCCCAAATCAGAGAGGTAGGAAGTCATGAAGCCAGGATTTGAACTGCAGCCTGCCCGACTCCAAAGCCATGCTGGTAACCTTTCTGCAATATCCCTTATGAAGCAAGACTATTACCTCCTAGATAGGATTTTGCTCACTAAATTGAAGCTCAAGGAGGTAAATGCATCAGCCAGGGTCTCCCAGCCAGGGCCTGGCAGAGCTAGGATGCTCTGACTCCGTGAAGCTTCGAAGTCTTGGGCTTCGTAAATGCTCAGCCTGTGGGAGTGTTTCTATTCTGAATTCCTTGTTGACATTTACTGGGAAACCTGGGGGTTTTGCTTTTTTGTTTTGTTTTAATCTCAAAACCAATCAGTAAACAAACTGGGGAAATAGGGAACATGCTGTAACCAGCTGTCCTTTAATAACCAATGCTCAACAGCACCGAGGAGTCCTGGCTAGAAGGAACCACCATGTCGGGTCAAAGAGCAGGAACTCGAAACCTTAACCCGTGAAGTTAAGGTAGCTATCCTTGGAATTTGGGACCCAGTAACTAGAAGGGAGTTGTTATAGCCCAGTCCACTCTTCTGTAGTCCCTGACATTCATTAAAAATGAATTGGTGTCCCTCCTCCTGTTGAGTGATTGGCACAAAAAAGATAAACATGAATGTTCTGAGAAATTATATATTTGTAACTAAGTTTTTATATCAGCAATTTCAACTCATGATTGTGGGGTACTTAAATCTAATTGGATCTGTAAACATTTTGTTATTCAAATACTATCCAGTGACACACACTGGCAGTTTCTACCTTTTGACTATTTAAGGCTTAAAGCTCTTTTTTGTTGTTGTTTTTTGAGACAGGGTTTCTCTGTGTAGCCTCACAGAGATCCACCTGCCTCTGCCTCCCTTTGTGGGAATTAAAGGTGTGCACCACCACCATCCAGCAAGTTCTTTTAAACTACTACTAACTGTGAGTTCTTAGTTTCTGAAGTATAGAGAGTTATGAAAAATACAAAGTATGATTTTCTGAATCTCCCTAGAATTCCTATTTTTCATTTACAAATCCTAAAAATTAGTATCTGATGGAAATTTGAAAACTTCTGCCCCAGTGGAAATTCAGAAGTCTTAACTAATAACCCTTTGTTACTTGAAGCCCCCGTCATTCAGTTTGATAGCACTGGCCACTTTCCCTGGCTCCTGGGAAGCTTCCACCAGGAACTAGGCCTGGGATGGTCTTCCTGGATCTGTGACACTCTAGAGAGGTCACCCAGGGACCCAAGGGCTGAACTGGGATCATTGGCCTTACCACAGAATTTCTACATCACCTCCATTATGGACACAAAGTTTGCTTTCCTCCCAAAGGGCATCTGCTCATTTTACTATTAAAAAAAAATGTCCTGAGCTGGGCATGGTGTCACGCACCTTTAATCCCAGCAGTCAGGAGGCAGAGGCAGGTAGATCTCTGTGAGTTCAAGACCCGCCTGGTCTAGTGAGTTCCAGGCCAGCAAAGGCTGTGTAGTAAGACAATAAATAAATAAAAATTGATAAAAAAATTTAAAGTCCTATATAATTTTCCACTGAGCAAAAAGGATGCTCCTTAAGTGAGTGCCTTAACAAAGTCACAGCTTTAGCCCCACCAGCATGCCCAGCACAAGAAGTGGTGTTCCAGCAGGGACTGTGGAGTCAGGCAGGCAGCAGTCAGAATGCTGGTTCTGCCACAGGCAGGGTGTGTGACTTAGGGCAAGCTCGTAAACATCTGGGCTATTTAGTTTCCCTATCTGTAAAATGTAAAAGTAACAGGATCTATGACACTAGAATATTGTATTAAATAATTCCCACAAATTGCAATATGTAGTAGAGTAAGCCCTCATTAAGTGGGAGACATTATTTCCTGGCACAGTGGGCCCAATACGTTGTTAAGTCAGGAGCAAGAGGTTGATGAAAGCCCTTGGAATCACACAAATGGCTCCTTTGCCATGGGTTCCTCAAAATGGGTAGTTTCCAGGTAGATTTGGCAGGCTCAGAGCTGGACCACAAGTCTCCATCCATTTCTGGACTTGGGTCCTACAGCAGGAGGTGTTGGCCTGGTCCAAAAGGTCACTAGACCATGTGTGCCCCTCGATTGACAGGCAAGGTTGGCGTATGCTTTCTTGAGCCACAGATTATTTGGCAGGCCTAACGTTCAAAGGCCCGTGGAGGGAAGGGAATCTGCCAGGTGCTTGTTGGAGTGGTATCTCTACACAAGCATGAATTTTGACACCTTTCGCAGACTCCGCAAGGTAGCACCTAGCACCTGTTGCCCAATGCTTCAGACACTGCTTGCTGCTCACCAGAGTAGATTCCATGGTTCCAGAGGCTGAAGGAGCCACCCTGGGGGCCATGCCTGGCCCTTTGGTGGATGGCTGCCCTGGTGCATGAAAAGGTGGCCGAGTTGGCCCTGCGTCTACTCTTTTGTATATTCAGGTTGTTTCTGGGCATCATCTAGCAGCGTCCTCAGACACTCCTTGTCTGTGACCTGCCCCAAGCCCCAAAGTTTTGGACCCACAGCAAGCAAGATGGATCCATGATTTAGGGTTAGGGCCAAGTGGAGGGCTGATTGCCTACCTCGAAGTCCACACAGCAGGCATCCAGCTCCAAAGCTCTCTCTACCCTTAACTGGTGCAAGTAGGTGACTGAATCTTGGGTCACTAAAGAAGACCTAAGGGCCTCACCTAGTGGGAGGGGCCCGCTCACCTCCCCTTCCCTTGTGGTATCGTCCTGGGTGCCCTCTGGGCCTTGCTCCCACCTCCCAGAGCTCTGGTGTCTGGCACCGTGGAAGTAGACCGAGCATTCGTCCGGAGGCCTCTCCTGGGAAGAAGCCTCCTGAGGGGCTCTGTTTTCAAGGCTTTCTCTTGGAGGGCTCTCCTTGTCATTCTCACTCCAGAATCCTGCAACAAGAAAAGAAAATATGGGTAGTTGCTCTTCTCCTTACCCCACACAAAGTCAGGAGGATGATAGGAGTCCTAACAGAGAGACTGTGGGATAATATTGCAAAGAGCTAGGTTCTGCGTTTCTTTGTGTGTGTACAGACACATGAGGAGGCCAAAGGGACCCTGGGTGTCCTCCTCAATCACCCTACATCTTATTCTTTGAAACAGGATCTCTTGCTGAACCTGGATCTCACAGACTGGCTGATCAGTAAGACCCATAGTTCTACCTGTCTCCACCTTCTCAGCACTGATATTACAAATTTGTACTACCAATCTGGCTTAAAAAAAGAAGAAGAAGAAGAGCCAGGTGTGGTTGTGCAAACCTGCAATCCCATTACTTGGAAGGTAGAGGCAAATAGATCTCTGTGAGTTCAAGGCCAGTCTGATCTGGACAGTGAGTTCCAGAACAGCTAGGGCTACACTGAGAGACCCTGTCTCAAAAAATAAAGCAAAACACAATAACAAAAAATTACATTTATTTGTTTCATGTGCATGGAAGGGAGTAGAGGCACATGTGTGAAATAATGGTTGTCTCCTCCCACCACATGGACCCAGGGATCAAACGCAGACTCAGTTTTGGTGGCAGGCACCTTAACAGGCTCAACCATCTTGGGGACAAACATGCTTGTCCAAGTCATTTATGTGATCCATCAAACTTGTCAGGCAATCATCCTACCCACTAACCCTAAGTTCTGCATCCTGACAGAAGACAGAAGCTGAAGCATAACCTGGTTAGAGACTAAAGGAGCTGTCTCTGGGATCAGACACTCTTGGTGGGCTTGACTTAGTCCCGCACCCCCTTAGCTGAAACCTGGGCAGCTGCATACATTTGTGCAGTCTCAGCTTGCTCAGCTGAGACGGAGGGAATAGGGGTGGCAACGGTGTGGAAGGTGAGTCCACAGATCTTCAGGAAGGCCTTAAAATGTTCTCCATTGGCAGCACTGGATGCCCTGTTCTTGGCCCTCTACAACACTTAGGATAGACAGACAGTATCTATCCTAAGTCTGCAGGCATCTTTAGAGGGTTGTTTCAGTTCTTTGAGACAGGAAACACAACGATGTGTCTGCAGCGTCTTCTGACACCAGCAAGCAGAAGCAGTTCAAGGATGTCTGGTGCGGTGACTCAAAGATAAAGGTGTTCATTAAATGATGTCACTGTCCAAGCTGTAACAACTTGGGAAGCTTTTAAAAAGATTACTGAGATCCAAATCCTAAAAGAACAGTCATAGCTGGGCCGTGGTGGCGCACACCTTTAATCCCAGCACTCGGGAGGCAGAGGCGGGAGGATCTCTGTGAGTTCGAGGCCAGCCTGGTCTACAGAGCGAGTGCCAGGATAGGCTCCAAAGCCACAGAGAAACCCTGTCTGGAAAAACAACAAAAATCCTTGTGGTGGTGCATGCCTTTGATCTCAGCACTCAGGAGGCAGAGACAAGAGGATCTCTGTGAGTTTGAGACCAGCCTCATCTACAATAGTGAGCTATAGAACAGCCAGAGCTACATAGAGACCCTGACTCAAAAAAAATTATAAATTAAAAAAATCTTTTCAAATTATAATAATAATGATGAGAAGAGATAATATTTAGTGGCTATGAATCACTTAGTAGTAAAGTCCAGTGTTAAGTTCACAGTGTTCCATCTGCTATATCTATTTTGTGTGTTTGAAAAAACTTTTAAGATAGGGCCTCATATATTTCAGTCTGACCATAATTTACCATGTAGCTAAGGATGGCCTTGAACTCCTGATCCTCTGGCCTCCATCTCTCAAGTGCTGGAATGAGGAGCACATACTACCACCCCTAGTTACAAAATGGCTAGCCTGCCGGGTGGTGGTGGCACACGCCTTTAATCCCAGCACTTGAGAAGCAGAGGCAGGCGGATCTCTGTGAGTTCGAGACCAGCCTGGTCTACAAGAGCTAGTTCCAGGACAGGCTCCAAAGCCACAGAGAAACCCTGTCTTGAAAAACAAAAAACAAAACAAAACAAAAGGCTAGTCTGAAACTCATAGATCTTGCCTCTGCCTTCTAGAATTAAACCACGCCCAGTTTCTAAAGCTTGTAAAATAGTTTTCGTGTGTATGTTTGTGTGTGTGTGTGTGTGTGTGTGTGTGTGTGTGTGTGTGTGTGTGTGTGTGCCGTGTATGTGTTAGTGCCTGTGGAGGCCAGAGGAGGGGTAGGATTCCTTAGACCTGGATTATAGGCTTTTTTTCTTGTAGAGCAGGACTCTTAGCCACTGAGTCAACTCTCCAGTCTCACAAAACATTTTTAAAAAACATACAAAATAGGGAGTTTAGAGCACTTGTTGCTCTGCAGAGGACCTGGGGTTCAACTGCACCCACATGGCAGCTCACAGCAGTCTGTAACTCCAGTTCCAGCAGCACATCTGCTTTTCTGGTGTCTGTGTGCATCAGGCATGAACATGGTGCACACGTTATATATTCAGACAAAACATTAATACACATAGATAAATCTTTTTGAAAAAAAATCATACAAAATACGCTAGGCGTGGTAACACACACCTTTAATCTCAGCACCGGTGGTTCTGGACCAGTCAAGACCACAGAGTGAGACCCTGTTTCAAAATAACAAAACATTGTAGATCCGGGCACACCAACTGAGGAGCTGGCTAAGGTCTCTAGAGACACAACAGACTTTCTCTCTGTTCTGTGCTGGGTTTTCCTCCATATTTTCTTCTTTGGTGCCTGCCTGTACCTAAGGTGTCCTCAGCAGAGAGGTCTCTCAAGGTGTGGGGCAGGAGAGATGCCTTCATGTTGGAAGCAGCATTCTGAAGATGTTCCCCTACCCAAAGACTTCTGTCCCCTGAGGAGACAAAGCCACTATCTAGGAGCCACCATGAAGGAATTTGGAATATGTAATTCAAGTCCCATTTTAAATCCTGGCATCAAATTTCTACGTCAGGTAACACTGAGGAGCAGAGGGTCCTCTCCCTGCTGCCCAGCTTACATTGGCCAAAAGGCGCTGTGCAGGCTGCTGAGGGGTAAACACCAGGCCCGAACCCTACAATACCAACCTGCCTAGCAGTGTGTGCCCACTGACGCCATGGCTCCAGCGCTAACTAGGCACTTTCTGATTGGATGTTAGGCCTGCTCTACAAAACGGGTTTCATACTGGTCAAAAGCCCACTACTTGGGAGATCATAGGCTCTGGGGATGATTCGTTAAGTGGACTTCTGGTTATATCATACAAACCACGTTGTAAATATTTATGTTTATACCTATATATGTTTCTGTTGCTCTCTTGCTCTTAACTTTGTTCATAGAAGTTTCTTTTTATAGTAGTAGGTAATGGTTAGTGCAGAGACACATAGCTGGTCAAGAGAGCATAAGTAACTGTGTGAGCACTTGGCTGAGAATAAGTAAGTCATCTATATTCAGTTTCCATCCAAACCTCAAGAACCACTGTGGAAAGGGGGTAAAAAAAAAAAAAATGTAAGAGCTCTCGGATAGAGGAAGAGCTATTAGACGCTGGCCTCTAGACTCGAAGTGGCTGTAGTTAACCTGCACAAGATCAAACCAATCACATTCCAGCATGGCTGGGGATGTGGCCCCAAGGCCCCACCCCTTGGTGGATGAGCTATTGGCAGTTTATGGCTGTTAAGGGAGAGAGATTCATTCTCCTCTGGGGACATGGCTGCCAGTAGGTTGTTCACACCCATGTGAATGTGGGCAGCACTAATTGGGCTCAGGGTTATTAATAACAAAACAAAATGAGGACATGAAGTTGGAGGGTGATGGGTGGGGCATTAGGAGGAGCTGGAGGCAGTTGGTGGTGGGTGGGTATGGCTTATGATTGATATACATTGTATATTTGCATGAGACAGGAGGATTCCCTTGAGCCTAGGACTTACATGCCAGCTTAAGCAACATGGCAAGACCCTGTCTCAAAAACCAAACAACTGAGGCTAGAGATGTGGCTCAGAAGTTAAGAACATTTTCTTCAGAAACTTGAAGACCAGAGAATGCAATTTTCAAAGGACATATAAATTAAAAAGAAAAAAAGATTCTCACTTAGTAAGATAGTCACTTAAAAACAGTTTTCTTGGAAGGATGATGTTCCCCTGTCTCAAAAAATGGAGAGAGGGGGGGGGGGGGGGGGGGGGGGCAAGCACTGTTTTGGTAGGTTTGGGAGGTGTGGCCTTGCCACTGGGGATAGGCTTTGAGAGTTTCTGGTTTGCTCTGTTTTGAGGTTGAGGTTAAACATGTGAGCCCTCAGCTTCCTGCCCCTGCTGCCATGCTTCGCTCCACTATTATGGACCCCAACCCGGTAGAACTGTAAACTCAATAAACACTTTCTTCTATAAGGGCCTTGGTCCTGGTGTCTTATCCACAGCAAGAGAACATGAAGCAGAAGAATCTTCCCTGAGCCCAGGACTTGGATGCCAGTTTAGGCAACAGAACAACACTGTTCCAAAAACCAACCAGCCTGGCTAGAGAGATAGCTCCAGAGGTAAGAGCACTCATTGCATAAGCTTGAAGATAGGAGTTCAGATCCCTGCACCCATTAACAAGCACCCAGCACCGCTCCGATCCCAGCTCTGATCGGGCAGGAAGCAGGCTGGCTCTCTGGTCCCACCTAGCCAAGAAAACACAAGCACCACGTATAGGGAGACAGGCTGCCTCAAAGGAATGGACAGAAAGTGAAGGAGTCCCTTCTGCTCTCTGTGCCTGTACACAGAAAACACATGTGCACTTTTGTACACACATAAACATACACACACAGACAACACAGTGCACTTTTGTACACACATAAACATACACACACAGACAACACAGTGCACTTTTGTACACACATAAACATACACACACAGACAACACACATGTACTTTCATACACATACACACAGGTAATACATATGCACTTTTGTACACACGTATACATACATACACACACTAAATCTTTAAAAACACACAAATACTGCTAGTAACCAAGGAGGACCCTAAGAG